GGTGGTGTTGGTGAGAGAGTATGAAGAAGAGAGAGACAAGTTGGCTGTGGAGGAGATGGAGAAACGGTGTGAAATATTCGGGGGAGGAGGTAAGTCTTCTCTTGTGGCTGACCTCATGGGAGATCCCATTTGCCGAGTTCGTCACTTCCCATCATACATCATGCTGGTAATCTCTAAACGACATCATCAGTCCATCATATATAATTCTACTACTTTTGTTTCCTTAAATTCATTCAAACATTAGTTTGATGATACATATTGCACGCATGAGAAGATTAAAATGGGAAGTCCTAAATGATTTATTTTGTTGATTTGAACAGGTTGCAGAATACGGAGAAGAAAGGGAGATGGTAGGAGCGATTAGGGGGTGTGTAAAAACTGTGACAAGAGGGAATTCAGTTTCTGCAAAGATAGCTTATATTCTGGGGTTAAGGGTGTCTCCAACTCACAGGTTTCTCTTCTCTTTCTTAAAAAAAAAGAAAAAGAAATTAAATCATACCGTTTCTGGCAGCATTACAAACACAGCAAAAAAGGTTCATACACAAACGTGATATTCACCTAGTAACAGTTTCATCAAATTATCAGTACTGGTGATGACAACAGTTATGTTGTCAGCAGGTGAAAACAGACAAGAGGAGAAACTGTTATCTTTTCCCTACTTTTGTACCCCATTCACTACTTTATATTCTGAACTGTTTAATTTTCTTTACCTTTTGGTGCCCATACCTTTTGTTTTCTTCGTAGTTTCTAGTGTTATGTCATGTTCATGCATGTTTTCATGTGTGTCTTTCTCCTTTTTTACCAAAAAAAAAAAAAAAAAGGTTGCAATCCCAATTTCCTCCCCACCAGAAAAAAAAATGAAAAATGAAAAATGAAAAAAGATCAGATTCCACAAAAAAAGAACATAATGTTCCTCGTATCAGGGAAAGAAGCAAAGCCAGCTAGCCTGCGTGCATTGACACTAGTATCCACACTTGCCTTTATTTTTTACTAACCATAAATATAAACATCATGTCTCATTCTATTCTTCCTTTCTATTTTAGAAACAGCTCCACCAATGTCTCTCCCCACTTAATTGTCTCCACTACATATATGCTCGTTCAATATTATTTTAGCACCAAATAGTTTTCAATTATTGGCTTTATCATTAACAGTCTCTCTTTATATAGGCCACTTAGTCTTCTCTATATCCTCTTTAAATTGTGTAGCTTCGTAGGTTAGTGAGTTACCAACCTGTTTAGATAACGAAACTACGCAAGTTTTTTTAATTTTTAATTTTTATATTTATTTAAAGTTGCAACATTTATAAAAACCAGAACAAAAAATCGAAAACCATAAACATCTTAACAGTCTTAATTAACATTAAAAAAAAAAAAAAGAAAAAAGGATGAATTCAATGACATTGTATGAAGCATTTGTTTCTCAATAAATAAAATGTTCAAACCTGCTGGTGCAGGAGGCTAGGCATCGGCATCAAACTGGTACAGAAATTAGAAGAATGGTGCAAGCAAAACGGGGCAGAGTATGCATACATGACCACAGACTGCACCAACCAACCGTCCATCAACCTCTTCACCAGAAAGGGTGGCTACACCAAACTCCGCACTCTCACCATGCTGGTTCAGCCGGTCCACGCTCACCACAAATCATTAGGCTCTGGCATTGCCATCGTCCAGCTGAATCCAAGACTGGCCGAGTCCGTTTACCGCGAAGTTTTTGCGGACTCGGAATTCTTCCCTAAAGACATTGAAATCATTCTCCGCAGCGAGCTGAGTCAGGGCACGTTCATGGCAATGCCAAAGAGATTCCTCCCCGAATGGAACCGGAAAACCAGCATTCTTCCCCCAAGTTTCGCCCTCCTCAGCGTGTGGAGCACGAAACAGTTGTTCCGGCTGCAAGCAAAGGGCGTCTCCTTGCTAACCTACTCTTTATGCGTCGGTTCCAGGATGCTCGATGCCTGGATGCCGTGGCTAAAGCTACCGTCATTTCCCAATGTTTTCCAACAATTTTGGGTGTATTTCCTGTACGGACTGCACATGGAAGGTAAATATGGGTCGCGGCTGATGAAGGCCCTATGCGCCTTCGCTCACAACATGGCGAGGGACGATGAAGGGTGTGGGGTCTTGGCGGCGGAAGTAGGACAGAAGGACCCACTTAGGGATGTGATCCCTCACTGGAGGAAGCTTTCCCCTCTGTCTGAGGATTTATTGTGCGTGAAGAAGCTTAACGAGGAGGAGTTTAGTGAGAGATGTGACCCATCTGACTGGACTAAGTCACGGTCACCGTCTCCGATGATCTTCGTGGACCCTCGTGATATTTGAGCATTCACATTTTGTTGGTCCAATCAAATGTAATGAAAGTATGAAACTAGCTAAATGAGGGTGAAAATGGAGTAAAAACTAGATGTTTCCATTTGACCTGAACAAAGAAACCTCAGTTATCAACAGCACCTGAGTTACTAGCAACCATTTAGCCCAACTGAAATTTGGTTAACTGTTATTTGAGTAGAGGTGTTTTTTTTTTTTTTTTTAAATAGAAAATCTAAATTGTCAAATTAAGACATCCTGGCAATTAAAATACTAAAATTGATAATGAAAAAACTTAAATAATTCTCAATGAATCAACACACAAAAAATTTTATTTAAAGATATTTAAATAATTTCACAAGTATTTGAACATCCTAATTTTCATTTCTCTTATAATTATAACTAATTTTAGAAATATATAAGATTTGCCATGTTCATAAATTCAGCAACAACAAAAAAATCTATTTTTGGAGTTAAAAATTTTAACTTCCAGTTTCTAACACTTAAAAAAGACTGCAAGTGCCTTCATTTTTAAGCAAACAATTTTTGGCTTGAGCTACTACAGAAAGAAAAATGCTGGATTTTTTTTTTTCCCCCGACAATGGTGGGGCTATTAGGGTTAAACAAAAGAACTACATCCCCATACCTCATGAAGACCTCTAAATTTCCGACAGAAGGATTATTTTTCTCGGAGACTGAAAACACTAATCAAAAGCCCGAGACATTTCAGAGTTTATTCTCAGTGTTTGTAATAAAAAGGTAACGGACCTATCAATCATGTGATCAAAACATCAATCCAACTATTGTGCAACAGCCATCTAGAAGAATCAAGAGGATTAGAAGTTTCTCAAGCAATATTTCTATCATCTGAGTTCAGAATTCATCAGGCCTAGCACTTACAGGTACAAAGAAAGAATACAAGAAGCTATTGATGAAGTACTTATCTCAGTTAAGATATTCTGGAGATGGAGATGAAGATGAAGTTCATTTAAGACTTCCTCGTGTCCAGAATATAGCTACAATTTTCAATGGACACAAAATGTCAATAACTTCTACAGACATGTTTCTTAAAATTGGGGAAGAGACAAAGGAGTATAACTACAAGATATAAAAAGGCAAAAAGCAAGAATTTAAGAAAAACTCCAATACAAAAACAATATATCAAGAATTATCAGGGATGCAAAAATTCAAGGATACTACAAAAGTTACAAAATATTGCTCACTCAGAAGATTAAGCGAACGTGAAACAAGTTGCGAAATATCAATTTTTACCTGCCATGCAATCATATTGTAGAAGCTTTCGCAAAGCTTGAAAATATGGAGGACTCCTCTTGTAGAAGAACATGTGGGCTACCTTGTTCAACCTACACAATAATGGTAAAAGATTTTGAACTTTTCATTTCAATACCTCGATTGCAGCAGTGGAATTCCCAGGCTGTGTTATGATAGTTTTTGAAGGGGAGCCTCCATTTGCATAAGGGGATTTTATTGGCACTTCAGTTCCCAAGGTGCCACAATTTCCACATAGTTCTAAAAAGATTGTAGTATTTGATGACAAAACTATTGGTTCTTTAGACAGTGGTACCTGATTCTATCCTGTAGAACGACAAGGCCACCCATCTTCAAATGCTCTTTGATTTCTAAGTAACTTTGTGCACTTTCATTATGAACTTCTTAACTGGAATTATCAAACTCTTCAAATTCAATTATTTTAAACCAGGGGAGAGTAATGGAGGGCCACAATTAAGAATTTAGGTGTTAAATTTACATTGGAGATATAGGATCAAATTGTATCATTTTAGCTTTCTCATGTTATTATAGTTTCATTATCATTTGGTATGTATTTACATGTTATGGGTTCAGGACTTCATTATTATTTTGCTTTATTTAGTTTCCTAATTATACTATGATTAGGGTTGTTCAAACTCGTGAGTCACGAGCATTCCTCCTTTCTTTTTCCTTTTTTTTTT